TCTTGGCCAACAGCCAGTTATCCATCCATCCATCCATCCAGCCAGATAGATAGATAGCTGGCCAGCTACCCGGTTATCCATTCAGTCAGATAGATACCCAGCCAGTATGCCCGGCACTCCAGCTATGCGCAATAGTCGTAAAACTTTATTTATTTGAATACTCTCACTTGGCCAGGCCAATAACTGGCCCCCCTCCTCCCCCTTCCCCCATTTGCCAGCTGCCCCGCTGGCCAAGGCATTTTGTAATTTCCTGAGCGTTGCGTACGATTTTGATCGAGGCGCTGACGGATGGGGCAGCAACTGGAGTCGGAGCCAGTTTGGGCATTTTGAAAGCTGCCAATGTTGTGAATGAAACGCGAAACTGGCTCTCGCCGGAGGGACCTCCATTCGCTGTTTGCTGGCTGGCTGGAAAGCAAGTGGAAGCGAGAGGAAGCTGGAGTCATTGGGGTTTTCCTAAGGCACTGGCCTTAGTTTTCCATGGCAATGTTTTTAGCAAACTGTAACTAGACCTTTTGGCTCTTATGTGTACCTTTTGGCACGAGCCTTTCAGCCAACTGCGAAGCTCTTCTCGCACGCTTTGTGGGTCATCTCGTGGCTCGGATCGCTACCTGCCGCGGCGAATTGTGTCAACTGCAATCGAGATTGCACAACCACACGTAAACGTAAGCGCTCATCGCAGACGAATCCATCTCGGAGCTCTCGACTGGCGTTAGATTGGCTCTCTTCAAATGCAAATGCGGTCAGCGGAGAAGGAGGAGGTTCGAGAGGGAAGGAGAGAGAGGGAGGGAGACGGAGAACCGCTGGCGAGAAATTGAGAAACGAGCCCGCCTGGCATCCAGCTCGCCGGGCAATGCATCATTGTTAATGGCAACTTGTTGTGTTGCGCCGATGCTGCCGCTTCCACTGCGCCACCACCACCAGCATCACCATCGGAATCACCAGCAGAATCACCAGCAGAATCACCAGCAGCAGAGTCACCAGCAGCATCGCCACTGATCAAACTTAATTCAAAGTTCCTGTTGCGCGAGCAGCGCTGCGAATTTCGAAACGCTTGAGAAGCGGGAGGGGAAAAGGGGGAGTGGGATGGCGAAGGGGAAGGGGCAAGGGGGGGTGGGTAAGGGGGGAGGATAGCCGGCTATGTTGCTGCAATATGCGTGCGATTAAGACGCGACTGCTGCGGCTGCTTAGTTACATCGTATTATGTGCCATAATTTAATTGACATTGCTCGCGTAAATCAGGCAATCACCGAACTGATATACGATGTGTTGCTGCTGCTGCTGATGTTGTTGTTGCTGCTGCTGCTCATGTTGTTGTTGTTGCTGCTGCTAATGTTGTTGTTGCTGCTAATGTTGTTGTTGCTGCTGCTGCTGCGAAGCTGACCGCAGCATAAACGAACAACGTGAGCTGAGCATTTAAATGCGGTCAGCCAGTTTTTCATTTTTTCTCGCCTAGCCGTTGATACTAACTAGACACTTGTATTATTTAAATCAAGTTGTGCTAGTTTTTTTCTTAATACAATAAAAACGCGCGCATTTTTTGCCGCCGTCGCTGTGTGTACTATTTGATGTGGAAATTAATTTAATTTCGTTACAAGTATTTTGTTTGGCCTGGAATTCCAGCGAAGTATCATTTTGGGTTTTGGCTTTTCGGCTGTGGCTGTTTCAGTGGGTTTCTCCGCGAAGTCCATGACCTCTGCGCGGAGCCACAGCCACAGAGTTGGCCACGTCTCACGTTAGGGGTGGAGCAGCAGACTTATCGTTCCCGAGGAGCCGGCAGAGGAGCCCCAACCCGCCGCCGAGCGAAGGTGTGCACCGTGGGCGATGCGTCTGCGTCGTCATCAGAGCAAGTCTGCCTGCGATCGCAGAAACAACAGCAACAACAGCAACATCAGCAGCAGCAACATCAGCAGCAGCAGCAGCGGTTCAAGACAACACACTCAGGCACAACACACACCACACACAGCACACACACTCTCGCGGGCGAACTCATAAAGCAGGCGTTGTTGATTTTTGAAGACAGACCGGGGCAGAACCGAAGACCCACGGCAAAATGTTAGTGGAACAACAAGGAGCCACCGAACACCTCAGATATCAACAACATTTTAAGTGAGCTCTTTGCTCTTGAGGCATTCTATAACGAACTGATAGAGCAACAACTGATTCTTAAATGTGTCTTATTTAACTATTAAAATATTTAATTAATATACAATCCATTCCATTATGAACAATGCACTACCAACATTTTGTGTTGGCCCTATTCGCCTTTTCCCTTTTTTCGCCTTTTGCTCCCACAAGCGCCGTTTTGGCAGTTCGTCTGCCAAATCCTTTGTTTTCAGCCAGCGTGGCCTCCTACAAATTTCGTGGCTTTGTGGCCGTTGTCGTTGTTGTTGTTGTTGTTGCTGTTGTTGTTTCAGTTGTTGTTGTTGCGCCCTTCTCGGAGGAACCAGATCAAAATGCGCCGATACGAGCTCATAAACACGCAGTTTAAAAGTATTTTTATTATTTTATTCCACTTTGGCTCGCCGGGTTTGGTTCGCTTTTCGATTTTCGGGAGTGCGGATGGCGGATCGGGGATTTGGGATCGCGGATCGCTGAAAGGGGTTCGCACGGACTGTACTATACATGTCAGCTGAGTTCGGTTCTTGATTTTCGGGCAGCGGAACTTTCGGCAGTCCGCCACTCGGCGTTCTATGTAATTATTCAATTAGGCGGGGAACAGGGGAGCGGGGGAGCAGGGAGCAGGGAGCTTGCTGGGGAAACAGTAGCTGAGATTTTGCTCTAATTGAAACTTAATTACTTTCCGAATGCTGTGGCCGTACGAGTGTGCGGCACACGGGCAGGCGAGCTCATTAACAGTCACCGGATGCACTTTCAAATCGGGCGAACAGCAAGTGGCCGAGTGAAAGATGCAACTGGCAAACGAGTTTTTGCGCTGAAGACCCAGCGGCACTGGCGGCAGCGGCTAAATCATAATAAAATTACCATAATTATAAAAAAAGCTGTAAAACAGCAAGCAGTATGCCACAGTTTTCCACCGCTAATATTCTCGACTTCGGCCTGCTGCACTCGCTTTGCAAACAGGGGGGTAAAGGGGGGTGGAAAGGGGGGTGAAGAGGGGGAGGGGGGAACAGCTATTGGCCGCTGGTAACCGCTGTTGGCCAGCAGGTGTTGGAACGGACAAGTTGCTGTCAGCTGCGAGAGTTGAGAGTTCTGCAAGACGCCAAACCAAAAGCAAAGCCAAATTGTACAACACGCCCCGAAAAAAACAGAGAGACCACCTTACCGCCCACCGCCCCCCAGCCGAGCGGGCTGAAGGCCATTAAGCGGGCCTGGTGTTTGTGCAACGCATAAATCTTAGGGCCGCACAATGGCTTGTTTGCACGTCCCAAACATTGGCGTGTAGCGACTTCCAGAGACTAGCCCGTCCAGCGGGCCGGGTCCTGAACCTGGCCAAATCAATAAAAAACTTCCGTTGCCGTTGCCCCAGCGGCGAGGGCGGTTTTAATTAACGCCCGGCCGAAAGCCGAAAGCCAAGAGCAAAAAGCCAAAAGCAGGCGGAAAAGCGAAAGCGGGCGAGTTGCACCCCAAGTGCAGCCATAAATTCGGCTCCTGGCCAACCGCTTAACCCTTGGAGGCGATAGCGCCCGTTGATTGTGTCGCCGGGGGCAGGGGCGTGGCTATTTGCTTAGCCGCCTCGATTGACAGCTGCCAGAGTCGCGGGCTCGAGACTCGGGAAATCAGGGCTGCCCGATTCCGCGGGGCGGCCAACATGGCTCCGTCTTTGCCGGGAGAATTTATGGCACAGCCGCCGTGCGGCACGCCCGTTGAGGCCCGTTCTGGCCCTGCCCCGCCGATATTCAAATGTGTATCTTGATAAACAACTCGCGGCGGAGCGACACCCACGCCACCAATACGAATGCGAAGGCCCGCCAGCCACAACCACAATTGCAACCACAGAGTCGCGTTGCAGGGTCCTCAACTCGTTTTACTAGTTTCACTACTAGCAGCGACTCCCCCGCCTTGCCGCTCTCCCCCTCTCCCCCTCTGTCGCCTTACCGCCTCGTTTTTCGCGGAGCTCATGAACTTTCGTGGCACACTAATTCAATTAGGAAGCCCACGCCCACTATCAATAAATTTCTCAAAACACGAGACTCATTCACGGCTCTGTTTTGCGACTGTTTGTGCGGCTCATCTGGAAAGCCATTAAGTAGAGCAGTGGCAACTAGACTGGGTTCGGGTTCGAGTACTTGGCCTGGGTGGGTGTTGCCAGTGACAATGCCCCCCTCACCAGTTCCCTCAGCAGTTCCCTCCCCCAGTGGGGAACCCCCTTCCGTGGCCAGCAGCGCGTGCAGTGGCGGGGACAAAAACCGAACGGCGACTGAAAAACTTTTCACAAAACTGACATTGACACACGTGGAGGAGCAACAAAGCACTGAACACTGAACACTGAACACTGCCATATTGCACATACGCCCGAGTGGCGTGTTGTCGAGTGAGAGGGTCACAGGCGTAGGAGGTTCACTATGTTCACTATTTTCGCGTTGTTGCTATTGTTACGTCGCTGCGGCCGTTGTCTTGGCTCGTTTGTCAGTCAGCATTAGAGACATGTCAGCAATTCAATTGGGATATGCTAACTACCCGCGGAAGAGGCCCGAAGGATCTGTGGGGAGTGGGAGGGCACCCTTGCCGCGTGCACCCTGCATAATGAATACCTCAACTCCTGACTGCGAAACAAGCCAACATGACGCAAATTGGATGGATATGCCAAAACTATTTGTTTAAAGAGGTAATGTAACTCATTTGAAGAAGGATGAACGTTACTCACAATTTATGCAATTAAAATAAGATTAGTTTTAGCTGCTTCTGTATTCCCTCAAGTCAGTTAAGCTTATCACACCAAATAAAACTGTTCGAGTGTCGAATCCCCTTTTGGATATTCATCCCCAATATTTGGTGACCTCTCCTTAGAGGAGCATCCCTCAGTGGAGCACCAGACTCACCTGCGTTTGCGTGAGGCCCAGACTCGCCGCCAGCTCGGCCCGCTCGGGCAGGGCCAGGTACTGGGTGCGCTGGAAGCGGCGGTTGAGCTGCTGGAGCTGCAGCGAGCTGTAGATGGTGCGGGGCTTGCGCATCTTCTTGCCCTTTCCGTTGACGCGCAGGCCGGAGTCCTCGCACTTGTCCGAGATGGAGAAGTCTGCAGAGAGAGAGAGAGAAGGGAATCAGCAGAGATCAGATGGAGATGGAGTGGGAATGATGAGATGGAAGGAGCGGCGGAGACTCTCTGCATCGCTGTAAATGGCGGGCCAGCGGGCAACGATGAATTTATAATCGGGCTATGAAATTATGGCCAGAACGGCCCTTTTTTGCGGGCGAGCGTGCACCAAATGCATATTTATGAGGACATTCCCGCGGCAGCTGGAATGCATGAACTGCTGCGTTTATGGACTGAATTAATTGCAGCCGCATCGCTTAGAAATCGGCGGGCCGGCCCCCTCGGATCGGATATCGATTCGTTAAGTAACTTGTAAATGTCAGCGAATTAGCGTTAATTGCGAACCGAAAGTTCAGAGCTCTCCACTCGGAGTTGAAGCCCATGGAGCTCATAAAGGTGATGATCGAATGCCGCTCGAGTTCAATGAGCGGCGACAGAAACTAATTGTTCCGACCAGCACTCGCAGCCCCACGAACTATTATCGAGTGCCAAATATGGCCACAGGTGTGTGTTTGGCCGCCTTCCGAGTGCTGCACTCGCCGTGTATTTTTGGACAGCACGTGCTGCACACTCCGGTGACAAAATGGCCATTACAGAGCGACAGAGAAGGCGAACGGCTGCCATTAGTCACTGAATGTGTTGGTCACTGTGTCCTGTCCATTTGGCCATCGCAGCAATTAATTACGGCAAACGAAAGCCAAATTACTGCAATTACAGTTGGGCAGCCATCTGGGGATTCCTTCTAACGATCAGCTGCTTTGCAGATCGCCCAGCTGCGAGCGGAGCCCGATTCAAGAGCAAGTGCACCAAGGTTAATTGGCCCACGTTGCGTATGAGTGACGAGAGTCAAAGACAGCGAATCGAGGCTGCGTCTAGCTGAATCTGGCTGGAGCGTAAGCGTTGGCGTTCGCATTCGCATTCGCGTTAGCGTTGTTTTTGCCGTTGTTTCTGCTGTGCTGACGTTGTTCACATCCCGCGACAATGGCTCAAATGAATTGCTTTTCACTCGCCGAAAAGCGAAGCTGCTCAACCGAAACGCATCGGAAGAGCAACAAAGTCGTTCAACAAAATCGAGAGACTGCCGCATTAGCAGCAGCAGCGGCGAATTGTCACAGTCAAGCGCGCAATTATGCCAGAGACTGGGAAAAATGTTCCAAAAAAGCAAAAACATAAAGAACTCACGAAAAGCGGAGATGTGAAAATAAATAAAATGGGAAAATTGCCCGTACGTGGATGGGCAACAAAGAGGCTCCCACAGCTTCAATAGAATCCGTTTTATGGGAAGCAAAAAGCGACTTAAACGTTAACAAAAATGCAAGCCAAATAAAATAGTAACCAATGGGGGAAATTTAATATGCAAAACTCGGCTTTAGCTTTACCGTAAGTGTTGCACTCACAATCCAACTGAAAGTGTAATTATTTTTAAGGTGCAAGAACCAAACGAATTTTGGAAAATAAATGAAGTTGTCATACGAAACAAATTGAAATGAAAAGCAGATATTAGAAATGGTTACACAAACACAGTTGGAACGCAGAGGTACTTAAGAGTTCGGAGTAGGTTTTTAATGCCAAATGAAGCTATAATATTTGGATGTTCGCGATCCGACGACCAGCAAACTCAATAGCCGCCTCGAACGAAAACATAATAAAAGTGAAAAACAATGAATTCGCGAGCCTAATTGAGACGAGTCAAACTTGAAGTCGACGAGCAAACAAAGCCGTGACAATGGTGCTCGACGAGCGCTGGGCCCTCGAGTTCGAGTGTCGCCAAAAAGAGACAAGGAAGCCGCCAGCGAGATCTTCGAGGGGTTGTGGCCTTGGCGATCCACGCGGGGATTAGGGAGCAGTTAAGGGAGCAGGAACAGTATCGGAAAAGAAACTTAGTACGGAGTACTTACCATCCTTCGGCGGACTGGCGCAGGGCGGGGCGTAGCTGCCCAGGTGGTAGCCGGAGTAGGAGTTCTGGTGCATGGGCGGGAACGGGTAGCCGAGGGCACTGCGCGGACTCGGGAAGCCGGAGTCCTGGCCGCCCTGCGGTCCGAAATGCTGATAGGTGCTCCGAATGCCGCCGTACCTGGAATGCCGCACAAGCAGGAAAATAATCAATAATGCCAGTGGAAGTGGAAATGTGAAAATGTGAAAATGCGGGGAGAGGTGGAAATGGAAATGGAGTACTCCGGCTGTGAATGAATCGTGCCGGGGACACAACTTTTGCTCCTTGCGTGTTTTGTCTACACTTTTCACTATACACTATACACTATACACTATATACACTATATACTATTCACTAACTACTGTGAAATTCAAACGGACGGCCAGGAGAATATCGAAAAGTGAGCCCAAAATGTTTCATGTTTAATGCAGAAAGCGTCGAAACGAAAACTTTTTCTCTCACAACAAAAAATTAGGCTGGCGGAGAGGCAGGAAACTTTTGCCATGACTTCATTTACCAGGCCAGAAACAGAACAGAACTGAACACAACAGAACTGAATAGGACAGAACCGAACGGAGACCAAGACCAACCCAGAACCAGAACCAGAGCCCGAACTTGATGCGGCTTGATATATCAAAGGAAAATCAATACGAATGTCGGAGCGGAGTGCTCTGTTTTGGTTTCGACTTGGGCTCCGACTTGGGTTCCGTTCAAAGTCCCGCTCGCTTGCGGTAAATATTTTGTTAACACTTTGCGGGCGAAACAGTTGAGCAAGTTCCCATGCATTATGTTCGGCCCGGTCCGGCGAACTGCATGAAATATTCAATGCTCTCTTGGCCCCGCGAACACGGAAACGGAAGCAGCAGAAACCGCAACGGACAGCGGCCAACGGACAACGGACAACGGACAACGGACAGTGGGCGACGGACAGCGGACAAGATGGCAGCCAGTACAGTCCGGTGACGGGAAAGACAACTCCTGGGAGGGCTGGGCCGGCGCAGCGAAGCATTCCGAGCCAAGAGCCCAACACGCACAAGTGACAGGGCAGCAGAACGCAGAGCTCGGTGTGGAGGAAAACCGCAAGTCGAGAATGCAATGAAATATGTACTCGCATAATGAAAAAATCGAATCGTGCGTTGGAAACCATTTGCGGCAGCCAACAGTTCGTCGAGTGAGCGGTACAAGACCGCTGCACCTTCCCTTCCTTCTACCCCCATTGAACAGGGAACTCAGAACGCGGATCGGACCGAAACAGAACCCTCCGAAAGAGCGCTTTATTTGGCATTTGGCACTCGGACGGGAGCAACTAAACTTAATTGAATTTATTTTTGGCTTCCGTTTGCCGGCCAGGCACCAGCATGAACTGCAAGCCGGAAAATGCGGCTGAAGTGATTTTCTTAATCAAAAATAATAACGCGGGTCCCCAACACGGGTTCGATCCAAAGAATATCACCAGAGCTGGAGCGGACTCCACTGGAGTAAATGAAGTTGGAAGTGGCTGAGGGTGAGGCTGAGTATTTAATACTTGGATACCTAATGGTTTAATAGGAACTCATTGATTGGGAGAGAAACATAACACACTTTCAGTTAAACCTTTTTCTAAAGTAAAGCAAAAATGCTTAACAATACCTATTTGTAATCTTTTTGCACTAGAATATATTTATGGAACAGCTAAAAGTTGGTTATTGACTTATTTTATGAACAAGTTGTTTTTGGAAGTAAGTTATATATTCCTTAAGCACTTGGTGATATTGTTTGTCAAGGAACTAAAGGATTTAAATAAAAAAAAAGAATATAACACATTTGTCTCATATCTTTGTATCCAATATTAAAAGCTATTCAAATAGGAGTTGAACCGCAACTCCAATATGCTTAAGTGTATATATCTCTCTCCAGATTCATTAAAAAGATTCGAATTGGAGTTCGGGGAACGCCCTGGCAACAACTCCTTTGTTTTCGCTCGGGTGCGGCGAGTGCTCCTCAACGAGATTGGGTTCGGATAAGTCGGGCGAGAGGAGCTGAGCCCCAGAGTCTGTGGCCGCTCCAGCGGTCTCGGTGACACTCACCCGGCGGCGGCGTGCTGCTGCAGCTCCACGAAGGCGGACTTGCCGGGGATGTTGATCCCGGGCGTGACGCTGGCCGCCGTGTTCCCGCCGTCCATGTACTTGGGCGTGTGGGGGGCGTCGGGGGCGTCCATGCCCGACTGGGGGGTGCTGGGAGGCCCCTCGTAGGGGCTCCCTAGGTCCGTGAAATTGAGCGTGTTGGCGCCTATTGAGGCCACTTTATCAAGAATGTTGACGGCTTTTCCGGGGGATGCGCGCGGAGGGAAGGTTCGCAGATCCGGTGGCAATGATCAGCTATGGGAGTCCACTTCGGGTGGCGGCAGTTGGCTCGCAGGCAAAGTCTTGGCTTAGTTCAGTTCGGATTGTTGTTGGGATTTGAGGAAAACGAGCGCGTAAATCCTTTCGGCTGGCGGGGAGGAGGCACTTTTCTCGGCACTGGCACTCAACTTGATAGCACTTCCTTTGGAATGCTTTCTCCGCAGCCCGCTAGCTCGGCTTTCTTATCACTTGGATTTGTGGGTGTGCATATTCATGTAACTGTAACTGTGTAACTGTAACTGTAACTGCAACTGTAATTGTAACAACTGTAACACGGTTTCAATCAACTGCGATCCGGGATCGAACGGGAATCACTTTCGAGTCGCGACGGATCTCCAGCACTCGACGCAGATCGCAAGTAGCAAGTCGCAAGTCGCAAGTCGCAGGTCACAACAACGGAACAACGCAACGAATCGACGGAACTACGGAATCGGAATCGACGGCAATTCAGCGGCAACAACAGCGGCGACGACTGCCCACGAACAAAGTGCGTATACGACTAGGTGAGGTTTCAGCGGCGCGGTTGCGCGAGACTTCGACTGCTGCGCTGTCGCTTTGCCGCCGCGCTGCTTTGCCGCTCTGTAGCCGAGGTGTGCGAGCGGTGCGGCTGCCGCCTGATACGCGTGCGTCGGAGCGGGACGGCTGCTGTGGCCCGGACCTCTGGCAGGCGCTCTCGCGGAGCGTCGCCAATCGGGTGGTTCGCAACCGGTTTTCCCGGCTGCTCGGTGGTGTCTCTGTGTGGTGGTGCTCGGACCGCACCAATACCATAAATCTGCCTGCGGAGGGGCGAGCGGGGGTGGGGTGGGCTGGGTTCTGGGCCCGTTTGCAGCTCTCGTCAGCCTTGTCTAGGTCTAGGGCCGCATCGAGATTGAGGCGTGGCCTGGAGCCCCGCTCCCCGCTGCCCGCTCCAATCCCCGCCACCCCAGGGATTTTCGGGGACTTACAGCATTTATATGCAAATACCAGGGGGGACTGCCCATGGAAAGTGCAAATATTTTGACGTTTTAAATAATGTTGATTAAATGCAAAGGTCTCAATTATTAAATTGATTGTTGAACCTGTAATTTGACTTCTTCGTTAACCGCTGCCCGTTTCGGCTTTTATTTTTGGCTCAATCGAAACTGGCGCACGCATTTCGAAGGCTAATCAACAGTTGCGGACAACAGACGAATTAAGTTAATGATTTGTTTACGTTTTACAACTGCTGACCGTGCTTGTTTGCACGAGAAAAGGAGACTTGGTGCGTGGGTTACTCGGGCTACAACCTGGCTATTGAATGTTTTATAGCCCTCTAGGCTTAGCTTTAATTTTCGAGTCCTTAAAGATTGGTAAGCTTGGCGCCACCTAGTGTCCGTCTTTGGCAGCTGCAAACCAGTCTAACGGGCCAACCTGCTCACCTGTCAGACACACACACACAGCCTCGCACGGGCACACACATACCTGCGCACCAGCACGCCCCCTGCTGAGAGCGGAAGCACTCTCGCCCCGCCCCAGCACTCGGGAGAGAGAGATAGCGGAGAGCGCGCGCAGGTCCGATTCAAAATGGCGTCCTTTCACAGCACAATGTCGCTTTGTGGCTTTGGCCAAGCGACACAGGCCATTCATTCGAGCGGAGTTTTTCATTCACAAGACAAAGTCGCAGACCGGAGAGAACGCGGAATTTCCACCTTTTCGAGTTGGAGTTATCTGGGAGTTGGAGCGGCGGCACAGCGGGCTCCCTTCGGCCGCCCGCCGCCTCCCTTCCCTTCCACAAGCGGGGCAGTTGTCACCTGAGAAGGATTTCCGCTAGAAGTGGAAAATATGCATATTCATGAGTCGGAGCGGCGCAATTAACCCGGCCAGCGAGTGCCACAAAAAACCGAATGAAGTTTATTTATAAAAATAAATACATATATCGAGCATCCAGCGGTAATTGTACGCCGGGCAGACAGCCTGATCCGCTGACTGAAATGCTAATCCCCTCGTCCGGATCTGCTTCTACCTTCCACCTTCCGCCTTCCACCTTCCACCTTCTGCTGTTCTGACCTGGTCGGCACGGCCGCGGTGCACTAATTCAAAGGGAACAGTTCAACTGCACGTAATTGTTGCAATTACTTAATGAAATATTTATTAAATGCAAATTATGATTAGACCGGGCTCAGGGGCAGCTACTGTTCCTTTTCCCACTAAGGCGCCCGAACTGTGTGTGTCGCTCGGGCAATTGTGTGTGTAACAGTGCCCCTCTTGGGCCGCGATTAATTGGCCATAAATCAAAATCAAATTACCGCCACACGAGACACGTGCAAATATGTCAAACAAACACGTTTGCAAGTCAATCAGCCGCGCGAATTAATTTATCAACTTGTCGCAGATGAACCCGCGCCAGATCAATCAGCAGATATTGATCATCGTTAACATGGATTACCGCAATCAAGAAGTCGAGTAAACTAATCAATGTTCTTAACTTTAAATGTTCTTAAAGGCAGTTTAGGTTTAAGTGGTTGTGAGATTATCAAATATTACTTCAGAGTCCCTTCCTTACATTCAAAATGTGTTGTAGTAACTTTTGTGTTTGCGGGTTCTGTTGACCGAAGTAATCCCCACACTTGGGAAAATAAATTCGTTTGCTGTTTACATAAGAGGGTTTGTGCCAGTAAAATCAATATATTCACCTTATTGTTCACCTTATTGAAAGCAAACTTATAAGAGAGCAATACGAGTATATATTTTATTAGGACCACACAAATAGATTAGGCTAATGAACTATTATCTCGCCAACATTCCTTGTGACCTAGTCCACTTCCCCTCGCTGCCCGGCTATTTGACCTTACTCGTCAATTAGCCTTCCTCGTGGCCAAAGAACTTAACATTACGCCACTTGATTAAATTGAATGCCATACACAAACAGGAAGAAAGCAGGCCTCTAAGCTTTTCCCATTCTGATATCTCACTCGGGCGAGAAATCACGAGAAATCCAGAAGCGAGCAAATACGGAAGCCAAATCGATTTTGTTACCAAACAACATTAATTCCCAAATTAAAGCCAAGAGGGCATTTGGACAAATGAGACGATTAATTTTCCGGCACAGAAAGCCGAAGGAGAAGAACCGCTCAAGGAAAACCAACGGAAAACTCGAACGAGCGGCCAGAACGCCCACAAGTCGGAAAAGGCAAAGGAAAAGCAAAGGAAAAGGCAAAGGAATCGAGGAGAGGAGAGGAGAGGAGAGAAGGGGGAAAGCGCACGGAAACACCCACGAAACTCCGAGCCAAGAGAACTTTGGTTCCCGGCCGAGCACAATTTATCATTTAAATAATAATGTGCCACAAATGACGGGACGAGTGAGCTGAACCCTTGTGCGAGCGAGAGGGCATAAATCAGACAGAGAGGGCTAGCTTCTGGGGGGTTGCTGGCGAGCAGTTGGCCAACTCAATGAAATGGAAACTGACTCCGGGCCACATTCGATGGCCTGCTCACTTGACCGCCTCCGTCTCCGTCTCCATCTCCGCGTTCTCCTCCGCTTCAGTCAAATGAAATGCGAGGCGAGCGCTCAAATTACATTTTAATGAGTCCGGATCGGCGGAGGGTGAGCGGTTGGTCGGTTGGTCGCTCGATTCCCGGCTAGCGAAAATCAAACTGCAGGCTGACCTCACCTCGGAAACGGGGGAGCGAAAGGCCCAAAAGGAGCGCTGCCCATTCGATGCGCCTTTCAACGCCGCGAACGTGGAGCCCCGCCAAGTGCAACATGCGGTGGAAAGGTAGGGGGCAGGGGGCAGTAGGGGGAGAAGGTTTATGAATCTGTTTATGATGTACGAGGAGGCTAATGAAAGCGCCGCAGCAGGCGCCAAATTGGGTCAGGACCGCCTGCGGTTCGCCAGAGTCGGAGCTCCGTTTCGCCGCTGCTCGGCGGACCCACATGGAGCCAACTGGGGCTGTGTGTATTGACATTCAATTCGAAATAAATCAGGGTTTACGACTCCAGCGGAGCCAACGACTTCATCGCCCCACTCTTCCACAGTCGCTTCCAGGCGGCAGCCTTCAAAGCTCGACGCTGGTGGCGATGGCTTAGGCTCCGCTCTCGACAGTTGGCTCTCATCCTGGCGTTAATTGGCAGCACCGACACTGCCGGCCAATAAATTTCCAGGCCATCGGCAGCGCCGAACGAGTGTTGATGTATTCATTGAGCTCTAGGATTTGTGGCTCTTTTCCTGGGGAGCGGCGGCGGACCACGCGTGACTCGTTTGGGCTCGATTCCATCTTGGATCCTCCAGCTGCCACTGGACGCAGCACGGACTCCAGCCGCGCCAATTAGCCACCGAAAGACAATTGCCGGAAAATGGCTCCAGTGCAAAACTGGTTGCCCCGACGGCCTGGAATTTCGATTGGGTTTTCAGTCATTTGAATGGTGATGGCTTCATTCATCTGAGATTGGGGAAATAGCACGTTTTCAAAAATTAATTGGAATCAGTTTTTAAAATAACACCTTAATATTGATTCCTGCAGTGTTCAACTTAAATCTCTTAAATTGGAAAAATTAACGTCAAAGAAACACCAACCAAAACGAAAGACTTAAGCAAAAAAATTGATGGTCAGGCTACTAATTTAGTTCTATTTTGCTAACTTTAATCACCTTTGTTGCATTTACAATGTTTTGACTTATTGGTTAGTGGTGAATATTTGTACGCTGACATTAGGTAATATTACCTTACCACATAGACCCATTTCATGGAGGCTACGACTTTTGGCCGCTCGGATGTTACCCCAGAAACCGCTCGAATCGGCAATTTCACACTTTGGGAACCTTTTAAGCAGCGTCACTCGGAGGGAACAGCCACGGAGCCGCGGAGCATCAACAAAACCCCGAAAACATCAAAAAACTTAACACCGAACAAAAACGAAATGAAATGTTTGGAAATTTGAAAATAATTGTTGACACTTTATTATTGTTGCTGTAGTTGTTGTGCTAGCGGAGTAACAAGTGTCTGCTCCCGAACCCCTCCCCCTCCTCCTCCCCCTCCTCCTTCTCCTCCTCAAACTCTTGGCTGCACATGCGCAGGCCCGAAAAACTTCCGGCACAACAACAACAACAAGAAGAACAACAGGAGCGGGCGCAGTATGTAAATGGGAAAAATTTAGTTGTGTCACATTAAAAAGCAATTATCACCTTAAATTAACCGGCGGAGTCGGAGTCGCACTGGAATCCGGAGTGGCGTACATTGCCATCGGATCGGAGGGGGAGTACTCAAATTGCTCGACGCGACTCGACATTTTTTCTAATGACTTTCCAAAAGGAGCGAACAAATGGGGGAGGGCACTGCCCAAATTAACTTGTTGCTATTTTCAATTGGATGCCTTCGGTTCGGATGTTTGGGTTCGGGAGGTTTCAAACGGTTGCGCTTTTAATTCGTTTTAAATTATTTCGTGGCCGCGGTTTTTTTTTCGTTTTGTTTCGGTTTTAGTCGAACGGAAGAGCTCGTTGGCTCCTCGAAGGCAAAGTTTAATTTGCCATGGAATGGCACGGTGGGGGTGCTGATTTCGACCCGTTCGAACAGGTGAACAGTGGCCACAATACAAAAAATAGTTCTGAAATGCTACTTCACATATAATATTTATTATGTATTTTAATTCAATAAAAAACTGCTTGAACAAAAATGTAATTCTTTTGAATTTTTAGCTATTACTGCCATAATTTTCTATACATTTCGATACCACTGTGCCACCTTTTAGTTTTATTCGGCCTGGACTCTAACAAAACAAAATGAAAACTTTTTCTGTGTTTTGACGGAAACATTTGTCAGCGATTTTCCAGCGCCAGGCCCAAAAGCGCGCTGGAAAACATTTGAACAATTTAATTAGAAGCACCTAGGCCCGGGAAATTATCATGTGTGGCAAGAGCAGCGGGGAAAACGGTTTCCGACGCGATTTATGGCCAGCATGTGTGACATTTGTCGCCTCCATTGTTGGCTTACATCAGCGGCAATTACCGCGAGCTGCTTTCTGCTGACTGCTGACTGTTGGCTCACCTACAGCTGGAGCTACAGCTGGAGCAGCTTCACCAGGAAGAAGAGGAAGAGGCTCTCCAGGAGGGTGAACCACCAGGGCAGGTGCGGCTGCTTGGCGGTGACACTCTGCAGGGGGTGGTGGGGCGGACCCTTGGCGGAGAGGAGGCCCTCCTCCAGTTCGGCGCCACCTTCCCCCCGATCACTCCTTTCCATGAGCATCAGCACTGTTTCAGATCCTTGAGAAATACACCCCATGAACAGCAGACCCCTCAGTTGAGTAGAAAATATTGTAGAGTTTGGACCCTCCTCCGAAAAATGCAAAGTTTGCTTTGACTTTCGAACCCTAGGGAAACTCAGACCCGAAAAGGTGTCCATATCGGTGCTGCACAATTAATTAACAAAGGCAGCGGTCGCGGGAGGGGATGGCCTGCTCCTCCGCTCCTCCGCTCTTTTGTGTGCGAGTGATATGATTTATACTGTCTCCCTGGCCGGCGCCACATCCAGAATCCTCGGACGGGCGGTGTCTTTAATGTCTCGCAACCGAACATTCAGAACTCAGAACTGAGAACTGAGAACTCAGAACTGAGAAGTGGCAACCCAACTAATTCCCTGTGTGCGTGAGTGTTGCGAGGACCAACAGTGGCGGATCCACGGGGGGGAAATTAGGGAAATTTCCCCCCCTTGGAACCACAGAACCTGAAATTTTTGCTTGTTTGCTATGGTTGACTTTTCAAATATAACCACTTTGTTTACCAAAAAATTGGGATGGATAATTTTTGTTTTATAATTTGTACTTTATTTCTCGCAATAATAAGTTTGAACCTCAAATCGAAGAATAAGTTAAATTTCCCCCCCCAAGAATCGTCTCTGGATCCGCCACTGGGACCAAGCAAAGACGATGCCGAAGCTGATGCTGATGATGATGAGAGGCGGCTGCGCTTTTAATTCCAGCCTCGTCGACCCGCTCTCTGTTTCCAGTTCCCCGTTTCCCGTTTCCAGTTTTTCGGAAATTCGCATCGACTTTTCACACTTGCCTCGGCTACGCTCCAATTTCAATCGGAACACCAGAACACCCCGCTGACTGGCCGGCATTAAAAAGAGATTTGCCGGCTCGCTAATTATATTTTGGTGCACGGCGCAAACACCTCGGCCCTCGTCCTTTGTCCCGGGTTACCTGGGTGCCTGGTTGTGTGGGTGGGTGGTGGTGGCTAACGAGCCGCCCCGCAGGATGGAAGGATTAACCGAGTCTCAGCGGAACGGACGCCGAACGGATTTGGCTAATCCAAGGTCACTGCCTAGCGCCGGCTTAAAGTTCTCCTCAATTGGATTCGCGCTCGGATCCGGATGAGGATTCCCATGACGGATTGAGATTCGAATTCGGATTCGGATGTGGATTCGGGTTAGTGCGCAGAGAACTGGGCCACCGAGTTTGTGGCCCGATGCAAATGAGGCCCAATCTCGCGAGTTGGCTAACGGTGCAGCGGCAGCTTCTCCCCCTCCCCCTCCCCCTTCATTCTCCAATGTTGCACTGCTGCAATGCTGCACTGCAGCACGGCAGCAACGCCCCCTGGTAGATCGCTCCGGGAGTCCAACGAAGCAGCAGCATCTATCAACTGCGAGGAGGGGCAGATGCGAGATGCGAAATGCGAACTGCGAGTTGCCAGTTGCCAGATGCGGGATGCGAGTTGCAAGATGCGAGTTGCAAGTTGCGAGCCATGTTCCCGGGCATTATAAAGTGCATTGTGGCTACCAGTTAAGTGCATGTTGCTGGCCAGAGGGTTCGGCAGACGGAGCCCAGCCCCCAACTTCGACTCCGACTTCGCCTTCGACTGCTTCCCCGGTAGGTGTGTAAACTATGTTGCCGCTGCCCCATGTTGCTGTTGCTGTTGCTGCATGTTGCTGTTGTCGCTGGCGAGCAGTCAGCAGAGCCAACCCATCAACAGCCAAAACGCCACGGGGTAGGACCTTTTTCTTAGCTTTTTGAGCCAGTTATTTGGCTACTCTAGCAAAGAGTTCTTGCGATCAGGTACTACTGCAGCTAGGGAGAAATCTTGGATCGAGGAAAAGCCTGTTCAAATTAATTCCCCTAAAGAATATATCCCCTTGATATCGTACTTCTCCCAAAGTTTAGCTTAAAGGGGGATTGGTTTATCTGCCATATTATTGATTAAGGTTTAGATAGAGTGTTTGGTGCTTCGACTTCACAAAGTATTTCCCCTGCTTTCTTAGCTGTTCGGTGTTCGCTTGGCAGGCCGGCGGACTAACCGAGTGGGCGCGTTCACGTCCACATCCACAACCATGTTCACCTGATGCCGCTGCTGCTGCTGCTGCTGCTGCTGCTGCTGCTGCTGTGTTGCTGCTGCAGTAGAACGGCTTCTGTTTAGCATGGAAAACAGCGGGCTGGCCTGGCTTTCTTTCCATTCATGCAGTTGGGCCTGGCTGGCAACAAGTTGCCAAGCTATAATTACTGCATCCATGTCGCTGCAAGTTGCTACTTCATAAATTAGCATGCTGCTGTTGCTGCTGCTGCTGTTGTTGCTGCTCCAGTCAGCGAGCAGCGCTTTGTCATTGCCAGGAGTTGGGCCTAGAACGGCGCGCTTTCCAGGGAATCCGCGGCCAAACAGATCCAGAAGATCCACCCCGAGAGCACAAATCGCGAATCACAAATCACATGGCGGCATTAGGCTTCCGTGTGCTGTCTCCTGGTCTCCTGGAAGAGATGCGAGTCCAGAGCCGCAGACGAGGTCGTTCCCCGCCTCCGGGCAGGCTCCTCGTCCTCATCCTTCTTCCTTTCCTCTTTCCTCTTCCTTTTTCTGTTTCTGTTTCCCTTGAATTCCTTGAAACAACGGAACGCCCCCATGGCCAGTGGAGTCGCCCTCCCCTTTACCCCCTCCGTTCCCCCCTCGTTAGGCCCTCCCTCCGCACAGGCTGACCCACAAACAATTTGTTTTTGCATTTCGCTGAAGGGGACGCGGACCCCGAACCCCGAACCCCGAACACCGAACACAGAACCCCGACCATGATATGGCCGCCACCCCAGACCAAAACAAAAAAAAATAAGCAGCGAGAAAAACTGGCTTGGACATCATTATCACTGCGATCTGGGCCCCTTGCGTGTCTCTGGCTTCGCCGCTCGTCTCGTTCCAAGGTTTCGATTTCAGGAAATCAATCTTGTTTTGGCCAAACACTCGCACCAACTAAGGCAACTCCGCAAGCGGAGGGCCGTGCTCGTCATTAGTCCAGGGCCCTCGGACTCTGGCGGGAAGACAGGAGCTGCCAGATGACCCCGGGCGAAGTCCGAGACTGGTCAACACCCAGGTCCAATCGGATGCTCGGACTTGGAATCCGAATCCGAATCGGAATCAGAATCGGACTTGGAGTTGGAGTTGGAGATGGGTTGTGGCCGCCGCGGGCTGCAACTCGTAAGCGTTTTGAAGACCTCCAGTGCAGCACGCGATTTATGTACGAATATATAATATAATATGTAGCAGAGCAGACACCCAGGAAACGAGCCCCACAAATCGGGCCAAGACTCATTAACGATTTCGGTTGAATCTGGCTCGGATCGGATCGATGAAAAATGTGGTTTTAATTGGGATTAGGAGGGCAAACAGCAAACAGCTCACTCAGCGCAGCGCAACACGTGCAACTCGTTGGAGTGTTTGAAATGCTAATAAAAGATAGATTTATCATCCGCTGCGCAGGCGCTACCGCTCGGATCGAGGCAAGTACTCGGCGGGCAACGTCTTCACTCCGCTGGCAGCTCCTCCGAAAAGTGCTGCATCATGACGAGGGTTCCGGCTGCAGATGGAGCTGGAGCAGGGTGCTCCAGGAGTGGAGAGGGGACAGGCCAGCACTTGCGTGTGTCACTGCGGTGACGCTCAAGAGCGACTGGCTCTGAGCTCAGAGCTCCGAGCTCGGGCACCTGATCCGATCGGGGGTTAGAGGTGCCCGAAGGCACCGCCAGAAAGCGGGGCTCCCAGCGGAGCCACTGGCACCGGCATTCCCCACTCGAGCTCCAGTGGTTTCTCTCAGTGCAGAGGGGCAGCGAGAATTAAGCCATCACGTCGGGCTGAGCTCGAGTGAAGTAGGTGCTGCAAGTTCCCCAAAATAGAGACAGTCAGACAGACAGACAGAGATACATGCCTGCGAACCGCCAGCCAGACACTTCTTGACGAGATTTGAGCTCATCAGCCAAGTGTCTGGCGACTGTTTGCTACCTCCGTCTGGCCGAGATGATGAATGGGCCGAATGGGTTGACACATGAGGGTTTTAATCGTCATAGAAAACCTACGCATGCGATTCGAGCATTAGAGTTGGAGAAGCGTCCACCGCGGAGTGGAAATCACAGAAATCGAATTGTAGGAGAAGCGAACCAGACCTTTCAGCCATCGAAGAGGAGGATTGGATTGGATTGGATTGGAGGGGAATGGAATGGAAGGAAAGGCAAGGCCAGGCACTCCCACGCTCGTTATCCTGATCGCCAGAGGGAAAGGGGGAATGGGAAAGGACAAATTGGCGGCCTCCTTTCAAGCGGCTGCACAAACACTTGACTTTCGGCCAAATCATCTGCGCCGGGATCAATGGAGCAGCGCCTCCTGAACTCGTCAAAGGATCAAACGGCTTTCAACGAAGGCTTGTAAGCCTTTTGTTAGGCGCGGAGGTGCCGAAAAGAATCCAGAGTCGAGCGGGAAGCGGTAAGCGGGCAGCGAATGTCAGTCAAGGGGCATTGATTATGATCGTCAAATTATTGAGCGCCCATGAGCGGAGCTGGCACAAAACGCCCCCTTCCGCAGCGAAATGCCCGCTGATGAAGACGTGGACCACATCCACTTGGACACATGTGTCCGCTGCTGCTGGTGCTGGTGCTGGTGGTGCTGCTGCTACGGAAAACTGCTGACACAATCGCAGCAATTAAATCGTATGACGCTGCCCAATCCCAAATGCAATCGAAGTCCGATGAGGAGAGCCCATGAGGAGGAGAGTCGCATGGTCCGGTTACCCAAGTCAATCGAAGAGGCTTCGCCTCTCGAGGAGCGGCAGGCGACGATCTCGACAGCGATAAATTGTTGTTTTCGAGTCTTTACAGCCTTAACAGGTGAGAAAATGGGCTCAGTGGTTTCTTGGTTTCTTAGTTTCTTGGTTGGTTGGTTAGTTGCTGATCTCATGCCCCGTCGTCTTGAGCTCCAGCTCTCCACTCCCCTTCCCGTTCCCGTTCCCATTCCCATTCACCATTCATGAGTCCTGCTGGCCAGCGCTTCTAATTCAATTGCCAACCAATGGCGACCGGGAAAGGTATCTCCGATC